GCAGAGCTTTACTAGTGAGCTGACATGCTAACTGGGAGCTGATTATTGTACTGGTTTGCAATAAACCCGTGAAGTGACGAATCAATGACTGTGAGTATACGAAAATCATTTATGTGAACTGCAAATAAAGAAGTGAATGTAGAAGCCAATATGGAAGCCATCTTCGCAGCAATGATCACTACTTCAGCAGTAGTAAAAATACGGCCTGAAGAAATTCAGGCCTGCACGGGTTTTGAAACTAGGCGCCATTTTCTCTATAAGTACGTTTCCTTCATTTGATATTCAAAATACAGATCAAAAGTAAATCGTAAGGGAAAATCAATACTTTTCGCTCTGTGCCGAGGCAAGGGTTGCAGAGAACCGCGTCCATTTTCATTTACATCTTGGATGTATTTTTGAATAACAATGAATGGCACATTTTTTGTCATGCATCGGTCAATTTGAAAATATGATCCCACGCTGTTAATATCTGTGGCCGAATTATTCACCTTGCAGACATGCCTCAGTTACTTTTGTAACATTTGATCAGTCATGATGAAAGAAAGCTTGAAAGTACAGTGAAAGCAGAGCTTCTCTGCTGTCACTTAGAAAAACATCTTTGTTTTGATTATTAGAAATGTCGAACGAGTTACCCAACCGAGCGAGATAGTTAAATCAATCTTCATGGTTCCGTGTCTAATTTAATTCTGACCCTTTCATGACAATTATTAAGATCAGCCTAAGTCACGCGATTGACCGAAATATCTTGAGCAAAACCAGAGTATGGAAGGACCCTATCGAGGAAGATTAAAAGGATTGGTCATAGGGAGTTAAGTTGGAAGCAGGCCAAAATTATCAAATTCACTCTTTCCTTAACTTGTTTCAGGTAGAAATGCAGTCAACATCACTATTTATTTTATTTAACATGCAACCAAAAATTATTGGACTTAGCTGAGAAAGTTTTTTTTTCTCCTTTTTAGATATCACATCCGTATACGAACGTTTACAAGCATGAAAGCAGTTCTCTATAAAACCGGTGGCGTTGAGAACCTTTATCTCGGTACAGCCCCGAAGCCGACGGCCGGAAAAAATCAAGTGCTAATCCGCGTGGAATACACGGCGCTGAATCGAGCGGACACTCTGCAAAGACGAGGACTCTATCCCTCTCTTTCTCTACCTCCTGGGCAACCCGACATTCTGGGGCTTGAGGTATCTGGTGTGATCGAGGAAGTCGGTGGCGAGTGTGCTGGGACATGGAAGTAAGTTGCTTGTGGTTTAGTATGTGATAACCGTCAAGTAACTGATTTCAAATAAATAACAAAAATGACTGTACAAAATGAATTTCCCTCACTTCTAAGGAGAAATGTCGAGAGGTATCATTTTTTCTGAATTGTAAGGCGTATCATTCAAGCTTGCATTCCTTCAACAGCAACAAGCTCGCTTCAATGATGAAGCGAAGTGGTTGCTGTACCACCACTTAGAAAGAATTATTGAAAGATCTTAAAAAAAAAACAGTTGGCGTTGCACACAAGAGATCGCGCAAATCGACGGAGGACAATGGACGAATTTTTCCAACGAAGTATGTTTGCATTCTCTTTGCGTAGCATTGTACTGTAAACTTTGAAAGATGGAGTCAAGAAACCATAATTAACTTGGTTCGGTGTTAGTTCGGTTGCATCTAAATACACGAATGAGGCAATCAAAAAGCAAAAAGGGACAAAAATGGTTTAGGATGGAAAAGCTCACAACAGACATACAGATGCATGGTGATCTTGAAAATAATGGGCTAACTTTTTCTTAAACGAATACAAACTATAGCTACTTTAATGCTTGAACTCATAACACAGTAGCCCTATACCGTTTTCAGGAGGGTAATGCGCCTGCAAATACGGTTTTGACAATGTGTTATGATATTCCTGTACAAAGTTGACACCATAACTTACCGACTAAATTCTTTTGGGAATAACCTCGAAGTCACGATTTGGACTACAGAAAACCGAAAAAGAGACTACCTGATAAAAACAACATTGAAAAAAGAGACTTTTTGATAATTTTTTAGGCACTGATGTTTTTATTTTCCTTTTACAGGCAAGGCGACAAGGTTATGGCTTTGTTACCAGGTGATGAACGTGTTTTCTTCATCAAATTCTGCTTATAAGCAAGTTATAATAAAGCCAACAAAATATTTGCTTTGATGCTCCCATGATGCCCCCCTAGCTGATCTCAAGAAACGCTCTAATTCGGTCAGTCTTCGCACAAATTCTCTTACTAAGACTCATGTGCAGGTTTATTTAACTCGTCACAAACCCCTGTCCTTTTCACTGCTAAACAGAGATAAACATATTATGAATTCCTGTTACCTTAAGCCCAGGTTAAGCCATTTACAACGTTAAACGTTTGGTGTTGTATTAACCAGGAGGAGGGTATGCGGAATATGTTGCTGTTGAAGAGGTCCTTGTCATGCCTGCACCTGATTCACTTGAACTTTCTGATGCGGCAGCCATTCCTGAAGCATGGCTAACAGCATATCAGCTCCTGCACTTTCTCGAGCGAGTTGAGAGTGGTGATGTAGTGCTTATTCATGCCGGTGGCAGTGGTGTTGGAACAGCACTGGTGCAGCTGTCACTAGTGGCTGGAGCACAGCCATATGTGACTGCAGGCTCAGAGGAAAAGATCAAAATGGCAGAGTCACTAGGAGCCAAGGGAGGCTTCAATTATAAGACAGGAGATTTTTCCAACTGGATAGAAGGTGTTACTGGAGGTAACATATCCTCTGTATGAAAAGGAAAATGATTCACTGACAGTCTTGCATTGGAAATCTGGTCCAATTTAGTGTTGGCACAAGAGCGAAAGCTATATTTCACTTTTGCAAAAATCCAATTCTAAACCCCCAGATCGGAAAAATTATGATGGGTCAGATTGATCATCTGCACCATAACAGCAGAGCTGGACTGTAATAAAGCGTTTTTTGCATTCTAATTTTCCTACTCCTTCGAAGAAATATGAAGCAAAAGATGTCCTACTGATTTATTTACATTTATTTTATTACAGGAGTATGCAATATTGAATTTAGGCCACTACGCAGTCCTTGCATTTGTGACGGAAGTAAAACAAGATGCGTAGTGTAACAATTCAGAATTCCCTTGTTTTGAAATTGGTTATACTCAATGGCTCCCGAAAATCCGGGAGCCAGCCAGTATTTTCTAGTTATTACACTTGGCAGAAAAAATTCTACATCATCATTACATTTTCAGGAAAAGGAGTGAATGTGATTCTAGATTGCGTTGGTAGCTCTTTCTGGGAAAAGAATATCAAAGTCCTTGCTGTTGATGGTCGTTGGGTGTTGTATGGTACACTGGGCGGAGGAAATGTAGAGGGTAATCTTCTTGGAGGTCTGCTCAAAAAGAGAGGTTCTCTGATAGCCACAACCCTAAAGCATAGACCTCTTGAGGTAAATTATTCTTAATAAAAAAAATACTTCTCGCGTTACATTACGCTCACTGACAGGAGAACATAGTCTAATTCTGGAATTCTTGCGCATTTAAACAGTGATCTTTTACGTTGTTCGTTATCTTTTCGGTGTCATCTTAAATGCTTTCACTTTCGATTTCTCTCTTTTTTTACTGAAGGAAGTATGTCAAAATTTCACTTACAATATAACGAACTTTGTGAGAAAAAAACATCTTTTTTCATTCGTGTCGCCTTTTTGTGCCTCTTTATCTATGTTTCAGAAAGCTCTTCCCCCCGCCCTGTACAACCTCCAGTCCGAAAGTGTCCTTACACTTTTGAACCATATATCTCATACACATTGCCTGCATATTAGGGTAACGCTTAGAATCAGGAGTATATAAACAAATTATGCTCCAAATTTTGTGCTATTTTGTGTTTCTTGTGCAAGTTCAACATCTGTTGCCTAGCCCCAGGTGATCTCCCTGCAACTCACAGATCTATAACGACACGCCCTTTCGATTTATTTTTTGTTTTGTTTATTTTGCTGTTGTTGTTATTTTTGTTCTCGTTGTTCTTCCCATGCTGGTATATTCCAAGTTTCCAAGAGCTAGTAAGACAGCAGTGAAATTACTTGTTCCCGAAGTATGTATTTTCTTCTTATTTCACAGTACAAAGCTAAATTGATACGAGCGTTTACGGAAAACAGTGTTCCTTTATTCGCCGCTGGAAAGCTGAAGACCATCGTGGACTCAGTCCTTCCCATGGATCAGATACAGCTTGCTCACGAGAAGATGGAGTCCAACAAAAATATTGGAAAAATAGTTGT